TGTCAGAACGTCAAGGCACAGCAAGTCGGCCGGGCTAATATAAAACCGCGTGGCAAAATCAACACGACGAGATATGCGGGGCACTTGCAAGCATGAACAGAATGAGACCCTCAGGAAGCCCACAGAGGCCGGATGGAGCAAAGACGCGAACTCCACACGGAGGCCGAAAGTGCCAGAATAAGAAGAAGGCTCCCCCGCAGCCTCTCAGATGCATACTGGAGAGAAGCCGCGGGTGTTTGGTGGAAACATGTCCCAATGCGAACGTGCAGCTTAACAGAGAACCACAATTACAAAATGTATGAAAGCGTATAAAGATGGCGGAGAGGACAGTGACAGCAGAGCAAGGAAAAAGCACAGCCACACCAAGGAACTTGCATATGACCAACTTCACAGAAGCCCCGGCATAACAGCACAGGGCACCTGCCCTAGGGCAACGCGACCCAGAACCTCTAGGTTATAATATACTGGCTGGCGCTCACTTCAAAACACATGCAGGGGACAACTCAAGGGGCGTTATTGCAGCCCCAACCAGAAAAGTCCTGCAAGCCATGTTGCAGCTCACACCTGTAATCCAGTATGACTGACGAGGCTGAGCGCAGCGAGGAAAGTTGCTGACGCATATATAGCAACAGTATCAAAATACCAGCGGAGGAAAACATAGCAAGACCCCTCCTCACAAGACAAAACAAACAAACTCTCCCTCGCCTACTCCAAAGATTGCCAGGATACAGGAAAGCATAGATAAGAAGAAGGGACATCGCATAGCATTGTGCATTTAGACAAGCAGCCTGAGGGACCCACCAAGCATGGTCTGTAGTGGACTTCAGTTGGAAACACCACCCCTGAGCAATTTCAAAGTCTCAAATACTGTTCACTTCTAGTGAATTGGCTCTGGTAGTCAACTACATTTCCTTTCTTATCTGCCTTCCATCATTTCACCAATGGAGCTGCACTGAGAAGTCCAGAGTGAAGAGACAGAGAAGACCGAGAAGAGAACAAAGCAGCGAAACCAAGCAACGCCTGATGACTCACTGCCATGCGGGAGGGTGAGACTAATGCGGACGGTATGGAGCTCCACACGACCCCGGTGGATACCGTTGTCGCCTCTAGCGCGGCGATATCCACAATCCTGCCAGACTATATGGGTGGACGACGTCCTGCTAGCAGGCGGACAACCGCCTTAAGAAGCATCGGAGCAGCTCTTTCCCAGACAACTAGCTACCTTTCCTGAAGCTCCTCGCAGGAACGAGAGCTGATAAGCATCGAGTGCAATGATGCGTGCGAGCCTCGCTCGCGCACTCCCCTCCAGAAAGCATATGCCATTATATCTATATCTATTGATTATCCTCAAATCGGAATCCAGTACACAATTTGATCGAAGATCCTTTCGAAGGAGAAAGATAGCAAAGAACACGGCGCGGGACAAGGCGTTGAAGACCGAGAAGGAGGAAGTAAACAGGAAGATGCGAGAAAAGGGCCAGAAAGCAGCACCGAGATGTGACGCGGACAGGCCCTCCGGGCGGAGCCGGACCCAGGGAGCGACACGCCCGAGCAAGGCCACCAACCAGAAGGGCAAGGCACCGGATGGAATGGCACCCCCCGTACCTCTGTACCTCAGCAGTTACTGATCCACCACAATCATGACTGACGAATGTTCGCCTTCTCAGTATCTCCATACCTTCAGTCAACCAACATTAAGTTTTAGAGCAGTAAATAAATTATTCTTCTGAAAGCGTGCGTCATACGGCGAAGATAAACACTTCCAATGAGCATCAGAGCGTAGGCAATGAGGTCTTTGTAGTCACTATGGAGCTCAGACTGAGTTCTGTCTTCAACCACCGAAAAAAACGATATTCACTATGTAGTCACGCTAAACGTCCAGAATTCCATTCACCAATGGACTCTCGGATTCCCTGGGAGCTTGGGAAATTATTTACAACGTACCAATCCCATTATATAGCGATCCGATAAGTCGTTAAAGATCGATAGTATGCTCTGGCTTTCAGATTCGCGTTATCCTGCCAACGCGCTCTAATGCACCAGGCAGTCTCTATCAGTCTATTTAAGCAGCCACGAATCTTCTCTGCCACCTAAATGCAGCCACAGCTGCGAGCGCTATATCTACTCATATCTCAGCAGCACAATTCATACGCACCTGCCCTTTATCTCATCTTATTAACAATCTTGCTTGCCATTTCTGTTAGCCAGAAACCTACTCAAGACTCACGCTGCTTGCATTCCAACCTCCTCCCAGCCCATCTAATTGCCTCTCCCACTGCTACTTACTCAGTACCATGGCGCTGAAACTAAACCTCCTGTCTACCAGTGCTGAGGCTGAGATAATGTAGCTCCTGCATAATATTATTCGTAACTGGGGAAGAGGAGGAGAACAAGCCCATACCCAGATAAGACACAGAAAGCAAGAGAAGGGGTGAGCTAGCCAGAATAAATCTGCCGCGACCACCCCTCCCCTAGCAGCTCATACGCCAACACAGCGCCAATCCCGCATTCCAGTAGCCTGGGCAATTGAGAAACAACTACAGATCCGATGCTAGCGACATTCCGAAGACAAAAGACTCCCCATCGAGCGAGACATCCAGACAGGAAGTAAAATCTCACAATTCCCGCTCGACCACAGCTCGTCCCTCACAAGCATTCTCAGCTTACGCCACCACCACAGCAGCTTGAAAGACCGTCTCTAATCATCTGAGAGCGCCAGGCTACTGCTTGTCTGTCGTAGTCTAACTGCCTTCCTGAATCGTGTAGTGGCTCACTGGGAGTCCACGTATAGCATTTCAGAGCATAGGAGCGACCACCCTCGGCCTACCTAGCTGCAAGACTTAGCGGAGCATGCAAACGAGAAATCACCTAGGAAAGAGAGAGAGGCGACGAAGGAGAGGAAGCGGCAGGTCTACGTGTATAGCCTAGATCTACTCGTCAATGGTCTGTCAGTGCAGTTGCCCTCAACAGGGCTGCATTAGACTCAGGCCTGATGCCGCGCTACACTACAGAGAGACTCCACTACAAGACTCAGAGTCTATGGCAGAAGCTAGAAAAGAAAGGACCGCAGAGTTCAAAGTAATCCCTACAAATATAATGACTTAGCGGGCCCACTTTCCAGGCGGAAGCAGCGCCAATACTACCCGGGTAACCTCTCGGAACAATCTGCATCCCTGCAAGATCTAGAACACACTGAAAGGAACTAGATGACAACTAGAATGAGCCAGCGATACGCGCAGCCGACAAAGAGCATTCCAGAAAATGAACATGCAGGCCGACCCTGCACCCAGTACAAGAGGCAACGAGAGCAAGGGGGGGGAAGGCGGTGATCGAAATAGAACTAATATTATAAAGATTTGTCCTGTCAAAGACTGACTTCGCTTTTTCCTTTTGTTAACCTTTATTAGGTATAGACCTTTTTTTAAAATTAAAATTATGTCTTAGAAAAATAAAATTTTAAATAAAAAAAGACCATAGAATAGAGGTTAACATAAAGGATAAAGATGCTGGAAACAGACTCTGTGGAGGAGGAGGAAAGGGCATTTATTGAAACCTTTAAAATTTGTATCCCATAATATGCAAAATAAAATAATAAATAAATTAAAATTATTCTTTTAATATATTAATAATTATAAGGCAAATCATTTATTCTTCTTTATATATATCCATTTTAAAGCGCTACATGTCCTCCTTT